AGAATATTAAAAATATCTTGATTTGTATTCTGAAGATGAACGAAAGTCTTGCAATTGGCAATGACATGAGGGTGAGTAAACAGGTGAACTATCCCGCAATTAACCTCACATTTCTGGGTTTCCTCCCACACAGGTTTTTTTTTAAAAGCTGCTCTAGTTTTAGCTGCAGTACCCCCCCCCCCCCCCCCCCCCCCCCCTACACCTCCCTCCTCCCTCCTCCCTCAAAATGGTTTTGTTACAACAATGTTCTTCAGCTGATGCTTAATTGAAAAAAATTATCATTTAATTAGGAGCACATTTCCTCTGAGAGACAAAAAGACTGATACAATGTGTGTGCGCGTGTTATTTACTGCCTCAATTGTATGCGGTTCACGAGGGAGCAGTGTGTATTTTCTCTCATTGCGAAGCATTAGAAGGATCGCTCCTTAAGCTGGCCTGATTAGACTATCCCATCGTCTTGCCTTTCCTCAAGAGATCAAACTCAGCATGTCCTTCCCTGTAATACTTTATACCAGTGTGACAACGTATTACATATCACAGAAAGTCCTAAATATTTGGTCTATTCACTTCCAAATTACATACATAATGACTATTGTTATAATATCTACAAATAGGGTGAATCAGAAGTGAGCACAGAGGGCAGAGCTCTTGAAGTGAGAGGGCTTTATAGGCAATGTGTTTAGAACACTGCGTAAATCTATATATCACTCAACCTTCATTTTGAATAGGAATGTTAACATAGAAGCTAAAGTAATGCTTTTAACTGTAAAGATTGTTGTGGAAAGTATACTTTTGCATCGAGTATCGACCCTTTATAATTCTATTTCCGCTGATAGTCCTTGGGCGCATGAGAACAATTGAGCATTTTAGAATTAATGGCAAAATCACATAAATGGCAAACAAACTGCAAAATTACTTCCTTTAACTGACAATTGTCTGTATGCTGTGAAAGAGGCCTTGTGAAAGAGGAATCCAGTTTGAAGGCTCATTCCAAATGAGAGAAGGCAAGTAATAATGAAAGTACCATTTGGAACAGAGAGCAACAGTGGGGTAATAGAAGTAAAAATTCCATTACTTTTCTCAACAGAGAAATAGATTTTTAATGATTCCGCATAAACCTTTCAAGACAGGCCGACTATTAATCTATGGTATGCTTCTGTTAAAGCCCTAACTGGTACGTTTTTAAAGTTCAGTTTTAAATGTTCAGTTCCCAATCAGAAAATCACAACAAACAAATTAGGACAAAAGCGCTCACCATCAACCATCCACTCACATGAAGCATTGTGAATGACAATCAAGTAAACTCTCCAACTTCTTAATTCAACTGTTCACTGAATTAAAGGGGTCCTATTATGCCCTTTTATGAAGTCTTGATTTAGTTTTTGGGGTGTACTAGAATATGCTTTCATGCTTGATTGTTAAAAAAAACACATTATTTTTCACATATTTTACATTATTACAGCACCTCTCACCCAAGTCTGGGTAGAACTCGATGAGCCGGTCCTTACAAAATACGAAATGTGCTGTGATTGGTTACCAGTGTGTTGTGATTGGCACCGCTTAGCGCGTGTTCGTGAAATGTCACGCCCCTTACCATAACCGTGAGTTTCATCTGCTCAGGTGTAAATGTTAAGGATGTCCTCAATTTCAAACCAATTCAAGCCTGATTCGGACTTAAGAATGTTAACGAACAAGAAGATTGTGCTAAATGGATTTCATTTACGGACTTTGCAAGAACGGATTTTACAGGACGTTTCAGAGTGGTATGTTTGTTTGTAATTTTCTTATACATTTTAGATACAAAGTTATACACCATTTAATCATGATACTTACAGTAATGGTAATACAAACAGTAATCGATAACAAAACCATGGTTACTTTCCTAAGGGGAGGTGAACAGTCTTACAAAAGCGAGAGCTTACAAAAGCTACAGTAAACATTATATCAACACTATTTGGCTAGCGGAGGTAAAGCTTTGCCCTTTGTTTACATTGTAGTTTGTAGCAACAACATAAAACTTATAATTGGAACTGTTAATATAAAAAATACAACTAGAAATAATAGGACATTATTATTACAAGTTGTGATCCACAAACAAACAAAGTGGGAACTGCTTTTGTGTGTAGCCTGCATTGTACTCTCTTAGGTTCTGGAAGCTGTTCTCCGTAAAATGTGCAGCACACGTAAACGTTGGTGTTACAATGTTCATGAACAGTGTTTAAAATAAATTAACCACTCTGAGGTGATAATACACGGGGCAACTTTTTGAGCAATGTTGCTGGGCAATGTTGCCGTCAACGGGCAACCAGATGAGACACAGGGCCCACGACCGATCTAAATTATCCAGATAGAAATGTATTGCCCCTTTTCAATGGGAAAGTGCTCAAGCAACAATCGATCGGCAAGATTGCCCAGCAACTTTGCTCAAAAAGTTGCCTTGTGTATAGGGTTGCCAACTTCAGAAAAGAAAAATGCGGGACAATTGTGTTTTTTTTTACAGGAAAATAAGGAACACTCAAAATATTTGTACTGTATCACACAGTATACTGTATGTAATTTCAGGTTTGTATGTTTAAAAGGTTCTCAGACATAAACACATTTGTTTTGCTTAACCTATTTATGTACAATTTAATTCTAAAACGAATTTTAAGGTCACACAAAAAAGTCACATTACACACAAACCATAGTTCAAAATAATAGCATTTATCTGAAATGGAAAGGTTTTGTAACATTATACACTACATTTTAAAGAAATTAAAGAAAGTAATAGCCTAGCCTACTTTTATTCAGCAAGGACGCATTAAAGTAATCAAAAGTGACAGTAAAGACATTTATAATGTTACAAAAGCTTTTTTTATTTCGGATAAATCTACTTTGAACCTTCTATTCATCAAAGAATCCTGATTTTTTATTTTTTATTAAACATTAATAATAATCAGAAATGTTTCTTGGGCAGAAAATCACATCTATTCCCTCAGGGAGATTTCATGTTTTCTTGCGTGGCTGAATGTTGGACTCATGAACAATAATCACGTTGTTTGAATTCACGAAAACTGATTTGCCGAAATCAAAACCCGGCCGGACAGTAAAAGGGATTTGCCTTTAGCGCGAGTCCGGATCGAACCGGGAGCGACCAGACATCAGCAGAGGATTCTGTTTGCAAATCAAACAATGATTTGTCCCAAAAGAATTATTCATTCTCAATTTAGAGTTTGTTATTTGTATGGTCTGATGCGCATGAGTGTGGGCTGTGATTGGATGATGACCGGTGTCGTGATCATTCTCAAGTGTCTTGTTGCTGTTGTATCAGTCAGTGGTTAGATCAGCGTAGCAGTCTATTTAATCGGGACAAATAAATTAGGCCCAAAATACGGGACGTCCCGGCTAATTCGGGACAGTTGGCAACCCTACCTGTGTATCATCACCTTTAGGAAGTCAAACAAATGAGTTTTGGAAACGGGGTGGATAAAACAGTGTCTCTTTGACATAGTGACAACACTGTCTTCTCTAATGCAGCTCATCCAGGCCTCGTACCCTTTTTTGTATATTCCGTGGGTGGGGATTATTTAAATGAGTAACACTGTGACTTCATAAAGCCCGGGAAAAAATGCGTTGTAGGCCAAACGAGTCGTTCGTTATAGTTCTTGGAAAGAAGATTATGTTAAATAAAACATCTTGGAGCTGTGTAACCTTGCAGATCTTTTTTTATGCTCAAACAGCAACATTACACACTAACTAAAGTTGAAAAAGTGAAAAAGCATAATATGACCCCTTTAACTAATGTGATGAGATCATGTGACAACTATGTAGCAAACTACTGCTTGAAATGGTTATTGTAGGCCTACTGTTATGTATCACAATATCAGTTATATATAAAAAGTCACTTAATATTGGATGGATTTTAAATTGTACATTCTTAATGTGACAGCCAGTATATTGTGGCCAATTTGAATTTGAATTGACTTTGAATGGCATCTATGCAAGAATCAATTTCCAGTTCTCAATCTTTTAGCCTTTCCGTTTCTATTGTAAGGAATTTTATTCAGTAGATGCATAAAAACTGCATGATATTAACTGAAATGCAGCAATTACTCATGGCTCCATGTGGCTTGCCTGAAAAACACAATCCTCTTAGGCCCCATCCACACTACTGCGTTTTAGTTTAGAAACGGATAATTAAAACGAATACGATCTCCGTCCACACCAGCGTTTTAGCTGCGTATTAGAATTGATCTCCGTCCACATTAAAACGACTGAAAACGCGGATCACGTGACCATTCACCAACACTGGGCATGCGCGTGCCGGTGTAAACACAACTTCATTGATAAAATTATCCCACCATGCTCTGGGTTAACCCCAAACCGACGCTCCATGTACGGTCAACGCCGCCGCTGCACACGGGAATTGTCACAGATCGCTCGAATAATAGCTTGACTCCGGCGCATGTAGGCAGTTATAGCGTTGTAAAATGCAGAATTTACTTGTACAACAGCTGCTAGCAAAGATATACGCCATGACTGATGATGACACCCAATCATAGAGCCGAGCGTGAGCCTCTACTACGTCATCGTTTCTAAAGTCCTCCGTTTTGACCCGTCTACACTAAAACGCCCTCCGGTCTCCGGAGAATCACAACGAAAAACAGATCGGCAGCGTTTCTAAACTTCTCCGTTTTGGGTCTCCGCTTTTGCCGTTTTAGTGTGGACGGGAGGTGCAAACGTAGCAAAAGGTCTCCGTTTTTAAACGAAAATGCAGTAGTGTGGACGGGGCCTTAGTTCTGCCTGCACATTTCCACATGTGGGCTTGTAATTCAACATTATGTCTTGTTCACTTTCAGATGGTTCCAATAGATGTTGGTTACCAAGGTGGCCACTAGTCACAGTGTACTCCTCATAGAGTGTCTGATACTCTCAGACAAGTAAACATACAAACATGTAAAAGCACAGCATTGGTTTTGCTGAGCCAGGTGGCTGCAGTTATTGAGCATCCAATGACCTACCAATGCAAACCAGGTCCATGAAGCCGTACATGGCATAACAGATCTGGAAGAGCAGGTCCTGCCTTTGCCACTTGGCCGAGGGGCTGAGGGAGGACCACACCAGCCAGGAGATACTGGCTATCAGGAACAGTGAACCCAGAACAGCTGCAGCTATCTGGACTTTCTCTATCACTGTCAAAGAGATGGCCTGCCACTGGAGACACAGAAAAATATGATCAACTAATAGACAGTAACAGACGCACATTTGAACATGTGAAAAACAAGAAGACACTGGAAAATATTTATACAGTACGCAGATAATATAAGTGACTTAATATCAGTCAGAATAAAACAGACTAATAATATAAACAAATATGCCTTTGGTAATATTACTAGAATTAGTCTGTAAATTAGACTGATGCAGATGATCTTTCAAAAGTGTGGGGTCAGTAAGATGAGTACTTTTATTCAGCAAGGAGGAATTAAATTGATCAAGACTTGTTACAAAAAAAAAAAAAAATCTAATAAATGCCGTTCTTTTGAACTTTCTATTCATCCTAAAAAAAGTGTATTGTGGCTTCCAGAAAAATATTAAGTAGTGTTTACACAGTGTTTTTAACATTGATATAAATGATTCTTGAGCAGCAAATCAGCATATTAGAATGATTTCTGAAGAATCTTGTGACACTTGTGAAGACTGGAGTAACAGCTGTTAAAAAAATCAGCTTTGCCATTAGAGGAATAAATTACATTTTAAAATATTACAATATATTTAAAAATGCACTTTTAAATAGATATTAAAATAATAGAAAACATTTAATTTAAATTGTATGAATATTTCACAATAGTATTGTTTTTACTGTATTTTTTATTAAATAAATGCAGCTTTGATGAGCAAAAGAAACAAAAATATATTTTACAAAATTTTACCGACCCCAAAACCTTTGAATGGTAGTGGTCTACTTTTTTTTGGTTTTATTATTCATATCATTATTTTAAAGGTGCGCTCTGGGAGATCTTTAAGATGAAGTACATAAAAAAACAAAAACTCTGTTCTTCCCTTACCCCAATTCACTACAGTAAGCGCACAATAATATTATATTATGAGCAGTTCGGATGTCTACTTTTTCAGACAACTTTCTTTCTTTCTTTCGTTTTAATTTTTAATTTTTATTTTTTATACGTGCCCTGTAGACGTTCTTCTTGCTGGTTGTAGATCTTGGTGTAGAATGACAGATCGGATCATAGGCAAGTCAACCAAAAGTACAACTAATGTTAAAAAAAAAAAACTTTTAATTGTATGGCCTGTAAAAGTTCTGTAGTGTACCTTTAAAATAACCAAAACAAAGAAGAAAATGTCCTATTCATCATCTGAAGGTCAGATCAAAAGAAAGCAAAAAAGGCTGAAAGTAAAATCATTGAGAGTAGAAGCTTTGAACCCAGACAAGCAAATGAATCATATGAGCTGATCATATGAAAGGAATAAGATAAACACACTGCTAATGCTGTCAGTATGGTGGTACAATGGCACAGTGGTTGTATCAGATGGCTATATTTTGGTGCTGAATGACTACCATATTCATATATCATACATGGTATGCCAAGGTGCACTATGGCCAGAGTATGTGAACATCACCTTCTAATTAATGCGTTTTCTATACTATACAGCCATGTAAATGTCCAAACAATGCGACAAAATGTTTTCTTTTCCAACGTAGCAATGCTCTCTGCACAAAGCGGGATCTATAAAGAAATGATTTGCGGACTGTGGTGTGGAAGAAATTGGCTGGCCTTCAAAAAACCCACCTGAAACTCAATGAGCACCTTTGTGATGACTGTGAGCCAAGCCCCATCATATAAAATCAGTGTCTGACCTCACTGATGCTCTGGAGTAATGAACGAGAGCAGTGTTCCTTGCAACCATGTTCCCACATAGTGGTAAGCCTTGCCAGAAGAGTTGAAGGGAGGATTGATGCCTCATTAATGCCAATGGTTATGAAATGAATCGTCCATGGTTTTACTTAAACACATTAGGGCGTTGTGTTCAGGTGTCCACAAACTGTATTGGCCATTTAGTGTTACTCCGTAACGCATGTAACTATATTGATTTATTTGGACTTAATCTGAGTTCCTTCATTTTAAGATTATTTTCTTCACTACAGTTCAAAGCATAACAACAAATCTCAAAGAGCCAATTCTTTTCAATGAACTGTTCACAACTACTGATTCAATAACTCAGGTTAACAAATCATTGAATTGTTCTTGTCTGAATTTAAAATGAGCCTAGAAGCAGGAGTAATATGATCCTTAGAGCTCGACTGTGCTGACTTTAAAAAAAAAATCATAATGATGTCAGACTAACCTATTTAAATTCTATCAGTGTGACTGGGGCATTAGACCAAAGTATTTTGAGCAGGAGGATGGAGTGTATAAAAAATAAATAAATAAAACCATATAGATTTTAAAACACTTTTACTTTTAAAACATATACTGTTACCTTTTAAATCGAAATGGATTACTTTTACTAATGCAATATTTCATCAGCGTACATGGAATTAAAAAGGAACATATAAAAAAAACATGGTAATAATGTTTTTGGTAATAATAATGTTACAACAAGCTTAGGCAAGCATTAAGTTACCTGTAGCGGGTTCTTGGTGCTGATGGCGATGACCTGGTATTTGTAGTAGCAGAGTTCGCAGCTCCAGGATCCTCTCTCACTAATCCACTTTATTAGACAGGGCTCATGAGTGCAGCGAACAGAACCACTACAGCGACACGGGCTCAGCAGCTCCCCCTGCAGGACACAACACATGCTCACATTAGCAGTAGCTAATCTCCCCCAATTTATCAAATAATTCGGAAACCAGACACCCAGATCGATGATAAATAAGACAACAATATTGTCACGCTGTGTATGGTTCAATCCAAAACTCTTGACAAAGATAAAGTAAATAAAGTCTTTAATAAACACAGAGAATCACCCAGGAGAAATCATAATTCACACACATTAAATGAAGACAAGAACCAACAAGCAATAGAACCAAACAAGGAGTATCATGAACTAAACGAGACACTTGTGTGGTTAATCGGTAACTAAGGAAACTAACAGAGTAATTAAGGTCAAACTGAAATGAAACACGTAACACAGACACAGGAATGAAAACACAAAGATACCAAACATAACCATGTGTCCACCAAAGCATTTTTTAGCCAGCTGAAAACGCTGGGCCCTCTGCTGAAAACTAGCTGTGGGTGCTTGAGAGCGTTTTGGCAGTGCAGATTTTTTTTCAGTTGAGACGCTTTGCTTGTTATGATACGGAATATCCGCAAACGTGTTACTATCTCATTTCACAGATAGTTTGTTTCTGTGTTGTTTCTATATTTAATGTCGATACAATGTAAAGTATTTGGTCTGGCTCTTGTTTTAAACTATTTTGTTCTGCTATTATGCTTGCTGTTGTCATCTGTTGATGTTGTACAAGCAGAATTTGGCAGTTGGTCGGTGTGGTATTTGTCCCGCCCCTCCTCCACTGTGATTGGATGGTTGGGTAAAAAGTGACAGTGATGAGCACTGCGTTTTACCCAAAGTTGAACATTCTTCAACTCTTGGCGACTGGTAAAAAACTGGTAATAGACTAAGATCTGGAATGTTGTCTTCAGCAGGATTAGAACCCCAGTCCCCTGGACACAGAGCCAGTGTTTTTCTTGAGTGAGCTAACTTTGAGGATTTTGAAACCCTCATTTAACAAAAATCTCAAAGAGACGAGCAGCATAAACTCCAAATAGCTTTTACTTTTAGAATGATCAAAAAACAAAGTACAAACAAATAAACTAGAAGCAAAGCTTCCAATGGTCACAAAAAAAAAAAAAAAAACAAAAAAAAACCACAATGGCTCAAAATAAACTCACGGGATATAGGTAGGTAGGCTCAAGTTTGAACAAAAAACAATGATAAAAGGCTAACTTAAATAGGGCCCTACACAGGTGAGTATCATCAACAATGATTGCTAAGTAGGCCTACAACTGAGAGTTCTTGCCAATGGTTTCCCCCTGGCAACTGGGAGGAGGATTGCAGGCAAAAGACCTCCTGCGCCCCCTAGTGACTGGGAGCAATGGTCATGGCAGGAGTGTGACCCCTTGTGGTTGGATGACGTATTGCCTGACAAAGTCTTACTGGAGACCTCTCTTGATGAACGGCTCCTGACGTTCCTTTTAGTGCTGTTCGACTGTTGTCTGTGGAAGTCCCTGATGAGATCTGGGTCCAGTATGTCTCTCACTGGTACCCACGAGCGCTCTTCTGGACCATAGCCTTGCCAGTCAACTAAATATTGGACCCCTCCCCGTACTTTATGCATGTTCAATAATCTCTGCACAGAGTAAACCAGGTGCCCCTCCACCATCTGAGGAACTGGATGATGGAGGGTGTGGGGTATATGCGCATGAACCTGGGTAATAGGAGTCGGTAAGAGACCGGGTTTTTTTTCTTGAGAATCTTGAAAGGTCCAATGTATCTAGGACCTAGTTTGCGTGACTCGAGGCGCAATGGAAGATTCTTAGTTGAAAGCCACACTCTCTGTCCAGGACGGAATGACGGACCTATCCGCCAACGTCGATTGGCCTGTTTCTGTTGTTCACAGGTCGACTTTAACAGGGCTGCCCAAGCACTCCGCCAGATCCCCCTGCACCTCTGGACTAACTGGGCCGTTGCTGTGTAGTGTTTGAACCAATCAGACACACACTAATTATTCATTATATTTAATGAATAATCCAGCAAACTCACTCTCCCAACAAAAGTCTATGAAATCACAAATGAAGCCAACACTGGCAGAACCTATTGTCCTGTTACAGGACACCTTAAGACTGATAAGAGTTTACGACCCCAAAAGGGAATGTGCAGAGGGCTGTGACACTCGAAATAGAAAGAGAAATAAACCCTGTTTATCCTATATATTCCATAAAACCACTTGAGAAATGTATAAACATGCATCTAATTTTCCCATCTCACGATTTTCCTTTAATGAGGTTTGGCCTACGTTTTCTTGTAAACTCTAATGGGTTAATGTTTCAGAATTTGCATACCATGGGTAACCAAAATCATAAGTGTGGCATTTTGGTCTCTATAAACTCCAATCTGCATCCCCCATTTGTTCATTTACATTACATTTTGCTAACTTTATAACGCATTAGTATTATACAAATCTTGAAGATTATTTTCTTAAACAAGTAAACAAGTAAAGCAAGTATCAAACTTAGTCTCATTATTTGATACATTAAGTATCCTTAACCCTTTTTAAGAAGGGCGTGGTAGAACTGAACTGATGGTTTGCTCAAGGCTGATGATCTGCTGAATTTCAAACAATGCTATAAGTTCTAGCTTTCCTATATTCTGCTTCAGCTCTCTTTCCCTTGGTAAACTGTATGCATGTATGGATGTGTATGTTAGAGTAGTTTAAATGTTTAGTCTAGTTAATAGTCTTGTTCATATCACACATAAACTTGTCCGTGTCTCAAGCGCATATCTGGAGTCACTAATCATATAGATTTTGACTACTTGCTCTTAGTAGTACTTAGTAAGAAAGACATTTCCCATGCCTCGGAAATGTACATTTCTATTAATCAATTAATAACCAATATTGAGGGTTCATAGGATGATGTTAATGTAGCTACATCAAGTTAATCCGATTAACTGATCCAAAAATTCACAATCAATTATAACAAGTTATGATTGGTTATTAATATTTCATAGAGCTAATTTGCTACAGCTGGAACCTGTGCTTGGAAGTCCTGTTCAGAAAATAGTGGTTGTTCGAGACAAGACACCTGAGGGTCTTCTCAATCTCCTGGTTCACTCTCTCTGTCTGGCCATTGGATTGGGGATGGATCCCTGAGGACAAGCTGATGGTAGAACCGATTAGACGTCCAAAAGCCTTCCAGAATCTTGAGGTAAACTGGGAACCCTGATCAGACACCATATCTTGAGGAAAACCATGAATTCTAAAGACATGTTGCATGAGAAGTTCTGCTGTCTGGCCTGCTGTAGGAATTTTAGAGGTGGGAATGAGATGACATGCCTTAGAAAATCTGTCGACTACTACAAGAATCACTGTGTTACCTTGAGAATTGGGTAGGCCATTAACAAAATCCATGGATATGTGGGACCAGGGTCATTTTGGGATAGGGAGTGGATGTAGTTTACCTTGAAGGAGGGCTCTAGGTTCCTTATTCTGGGCGCAAGTGGAACATGCGGCAACAAATCTCCGGACATCAGTTCCCATGTTGGGCCACCAGAACTTAGATTGGATCCGCCTCAAGGTTCTAAGGACTCCTGGATGTCTGGTTGAAGTTGCAGCATTACCCCACTGCAGTACTTTGGACCTGACGGTGTTTGGCACAAAGAGGAGACCCGATGGGCCATTACCTGAGGTCAGGTTGGCGATGTTGAGCCTTCCATACTGCCGTCTCCAACTCCCACTGGATGCCTGCTAGCACTCTGGACCTTAGAATGATGGGTTCCGACCTGTCCTCCTCTTCCTGTGACTCGAACTGCCTTGACAGAGCATCAGGCTTTATATTCTTGGAACCGGGTCTGTAAGAGAGGATAAAGTCGAAACGATTAAAGAAAAGGGCCCACCGAGCTTGGCGAGGATTCAAACTTTTGGCTCCCTGGATGTGAGGTTCTTGTGGTCTGTCCATATCAGAAATGGATGTTTAGCCCCCTCCAACTAGTGCCTCCATTCCTCCAAAGCCAGCTTAACCGCCAGCAACTCCCGATTCCCAATATAATATTTCTTCTCTGCTGCTGTCAGCCGACGTGAAAAGAAGGCACAAGGATATAGTTTATTGTCCCTAGTCGCTCTCTGGGACAAAACAGCTCCCACACCCACGTCTGATGCGTCCACCTCGATAATAAACGGTAACTCAGGATCTGGTAGAGTTAATATGGGAGTTGAAGTAAATAGCTGTTTGAGTCGTTTGAACGCCTTGTTAGCCTCCTTGGTCCACTGGAAGGGTGTGCCAGACCTCCTGGTGAGAGCTGTGAGAGGTTTCGCAATGGAACTGAAGCCTCGAATAAATCTCCTATAAAAGTTGGCGAAACCCAGGAAGTGTTGGACTTGTTTTAATGAATCAGGCTGGGACCACTCCAGGACCGCACAAACCTTGCTGGGATCCATCTGTACACTGCCGCATGAAAGGATGAAACCCAAGAAAGAGACTGTAGTGACATGGAACTCACTTTTCTCAAGCTTGACGAAGAGGTTGTTCAAGAGCAGACGAGACAGAACCTGCCGGACATGTTGAACATGGTCTTCGTAACTCTGGGAAAATATTAAGATTTCATGGAGATATACAAACACACATTGGTTTAACATCTCTCTCAGGACATCATTGATAAGGGCTTGACAGACGGCCGGTGCATTTTCTAGCCTGAAGGGCATCACCTGATACTCGTAATGCCCATTAAGGGTGTTGAAAGCCGTCTTCCATTCATCCCCCTCCTGAATTCTCACCAGATGGTACGCGTTCCGGAGGTCCAACTTAGTGAAGATGGTAGCGCCCTGGAGGAGTTTGAAAGCTGTGGCCATAAGTGGCAGTGGATATTGGTTCTTTACTGTGATGTTGTTTAACCACGATAGTCAATGCATGGGCGAAGACCTCCATCCTTCTTACCCACGAAAAAGAAGCCAGCCCCTGCCGGTGACGTGGAAGGCCGAATAAATCCATTCTCTAGTGTCTTCTGAATGTAATCATCCATTGCCGACCTCTCTGGAGCTGACAACGAGAAAAGTCTACCTC